CGTGATGTTAACGTTGGAGAGTGACCCACTATCCTATGTAATTCCTGCCATAATGGTAGGGGGGAAATCCTGAACTGAAATAAATTTTTTGTTCCTTAAATATTTCTCTGTCAGATATTGTCATCAGAATGATGCAAATATAGCTAATACAGAAAACTGATACCAGGAGTAAGGTCATTGCTTTGACTAAATCTGAGCATGTTTCTTAGGTCCTTGGAACTGATTTGCAGAAGGAAGGTGGAAAAGTCTGGAGATGTATGTGAGAGAAGCCCTGAAATAAGGGAAGAAAGTTTACAGGGTGATTCTGGTAGGAACTTGGAAGATAATAAAACTGACAGAAATATGGACAGGAAAAATCATACTCATGAAGTTTCAGATTAAAATAAGAATTCTATGGAAACTGGAGCAGACTCTCTTCATTTCACTCTCTGAGATAGAATTTATCTACATTTTGCCTATGTCCTGAAGACCTGAGTAAGTCTGAAATCCAAAATAATGAACTGATTAATTTGGTGAAGGAAGTTGCAAGACAGCATAGCATTTGGACTGCCCATATGATGTCTGCGGGCTCTCTTGAGCCAGTTTTACAGTGAGAATTGGGAGCAAAGGGAGGAACAGAAAGACATCAAACGTACAATTTTGACAGAGTGTTTAAAGTGCTGAGGCAGAGAAGCCCCACACTTTAAAGGTATTCACGTAATTTAAAAAAGCTGTGCTAGCTAATTTTTGTCAACTTGACACAAGGGTCACCTGGGAAGAAGGAACCTGGTCTGAGGAAATGCTTCAGCAGACTGGCTTGTGGGCATGTCTATGGGACATTTTCTTGGTTAATAATTGATGTGGGAGTGTCCATCTCATTGCGGGTGGTAACACCCCTCAGCAGGTGGTCCTGGGCTGTGTAAGAGAGCTGGTTGGGCAAGACAGAGAGAGCAAGCCAGTGAGCAGCGCTCCTCCATGGCCTCTGCTTCAGTTCTTGCCACTAGGTTCCTGCCTTGAGTTCCTGCCCTGCCTTCTGTGGTGGTATTCTAATTGTACTGAAATGTGATTTTGATTGTATGTTAATAAATAAAGTTGCCCGGGGGTCAGAGCTATTAGAGCCATAGACAGAGTGTGGCGGTGGTGGCACACACCTTTAATCCCATAGATCTCTGTGTGTTCAGGGATACAGCCAGCATTGGAGACATATGCCTTTAAGACCTAGGGGGCTGTACATTCAGACAGTGACGAGGCAGTCATGTGTTTGGGTTTACAACCAATGAGAAGGCAGAACAATAATACTATAAAAAAGGCGTACAGACAGGAAGTAGCTCTCTTTCGGGAAGCTGGGACACCACAGGCAGAAGGGTGAGATTTTAGCTCTGAGCTCTGACCTCTCGGCTTTCTCTTTTACATTGTTTCTGTGTCTCTTATTTAATAAGACGGTTAGTTACATCTACAGCCTTCCCTCAGTGATGGACTATGATCTGGATGTGTGAGCCAAATAAACCCTTTTCCTAAGCTGCTTTTTGTTAAAAAGGACTTATCACAGCTACAAAAAGCAAACCAATACAGATGCCAGACGACTTGCCCTGGGACAACAGGAGATGTGCCTCCAGGGCCTTTTTGGATTTGGCAAGGCTCCAAGGTGTGAAACCCTAAAACCGCTCCACAGACTTGCCTCTAAGAAGAGAGAACGTATTTCTTGCTGAAGCAGGACCACTTGGTCGAGTACCTTCCAGGCTCAGCTTCACAAGGACGCAGAAGCAGCTGCAGCTCACGGGCCCGGGCACTGCTTGAGCAGGCAGCGGAACTTGCTGCCACTCATGGCATGCTGGTTTTGCAGTTACATGGAGTGCATGAGTCATGTCATGGAGGCTTGCTTGTACCCAGATGTTTAAGGAAAGCCTGTAGCCGGGGACCATGCAGCAGAGTTCCTGCAGGGAGCAGACGAAAGGCCGATTCCTGAAATGCTGAGTCCCAAGGCAGAGCTGCAATGTAGACGGCAGGATGTTTGAAATACCGGGAACATGGGGCATTTTTCGGGGGAAACCTGCAGGCAAACACTGCGACCAGCCCAAGAGAGAGGTCAGAGGTGCCATACTGGGTCTGCCGGCTTTGGCCTTGCTTTTCTTTGCTTCCTTGCTCCTCCCCTTTGAGACGAAAATGTTTGCTCTGGGCCATTTTGTTTTGGAAGTAGGTAACTTTTCTTTGCCATTTTACAGGGGCTCACAGCTAAGAGATTGTCTTGAGCCTCAGAAGATTTGGACTTTGGAACAGTATGGGACTACTAAGCCTGTGGAGGACTCTGAAAGTTGGACTATATGCACCTCACGTTAAGAAATGGCAGAGGTGAAATCAGCCTCCTCCATGGGCTCATGCTGCCAGTACTTATTCCCTAGTGGTGGCACTGCTGTGGGAGGCTGTGGGACATTTAGGAGCTGGGACCCAGCTGGCAGGAGGAGGTCTTATGGGAAGCCTTTGAAGACTATAGCTCAGCCCGGGTTCTATCTTCATTCACTGCCTCCTGGTCCCTTGCCAGGGGCTTCCACCACCACAGAATCCACCATGGCTTCTCTGCTATGACAGACTGAAACCTTTGTAACTACATGTCAAAGTATCTTTTTGTCCTGAAGTTGTTTGTACCAGGCTTCCTTTGGGCCACCAACCAGCTCCCAAATCATGACACAGAGACTTATTATTAGTTTTGAATGCTCAGCCTTCGCTTAGCTCTTACTTTAATGTGTTTCTCTTTATCTACATTTTGCCTCAGGGATTTTTTACCTTTCTTTCCTTCTGTGTGTCTTCCTTTCCTGCTGCCTCCATGTCTCGCTGGTGGCTGCCTGGCTTCTGGCCCTGAGCATCTCCCTCTCTTTCTCCTTCTTTCTAGCCTCCTACTTATTCTCTCTGCCTGACAGCCCTGACTATTCCTCTCCTGGCTAGCCATTGGCCATTCAGCTTTTTATTAGACCAATCAGGAGCCTTAGGCAGGCAAGGTGAAACAAACGCAACACATCTTTACATAGTTAAACAAATGCAGTATAGCTGAATGTAACACGTCTTTACAACATTAACAAAGGCATAGAAACAAATATAACACAACTTTATACAGTTAAATATTCCACAGTTAAAGTAATATTCCACAGCATAAATAAATGTAACCCGTCTTTACACAGTTAAATATTCCACAACAGTTGTCCTGTTGGATTATCATCAGAATGATGCAAAGATAATAATGCATCCCAGTAGGCAGAAGCCAAGCCTCTTGGCAGTTCCTTCAGGAAACGTGAGAATGGTGGGCGCCCTTTGGCAAGTATGGAAGTTTAAGGGAACAACAGCTCTCTCACTTCCTCTGTGTTACTAGGACCTGGGTTCATTCCCCAGCACCCACATGGAGGCTCACAATTGCCTGTAACTCTTGTTCCAGGGGATCCGATGCTTCCCTGGGCACTGCATAAATATGGTGCGCAGACATACATGCAGGCCCAAACACCCATTCACATAAAATAAAAATAAACACACCTTAGAAAAATTTAAAAGCCAGCAATCACAGATGGTCAGAGACACTCCCTAAGTGGTATAGGCTGTTGCCATTGTTCTTGGTTGCCCCCCCAGAACTTGAAGGTAAGATTGTATTATTAAACACAAAATAGACTTCAGACATAGGACTTGGAGGAATAGAGCTAGAATTAACCTGGAAGCCTTCTCCTTGAAGACTTTCATAGCACTCAGAGGTGCTGTGCACTCTGCTGATGGAGAAAAGCAACCAGTCTCACCCAGCTGTAAAGCCTGCACCACAACAAGGACCAGCATGGCAAGATGTCTTCAAAGGTGCAAAAATGGTACCTATGTCTCAGGAGTAAGCAACGGTCACCTGATTGGACTTGAGACCTGATCAATAGGAAGGAATTCATGCCTGAGACTATAAACCCAGCCAACTATTCATTGTTGGTGACATCATAACCCCTCGGAGAACTTATTACTATCACTTTCCTAAATTTAAAAACACTTAGCCTTATACCCACAGGTAATTGTAACTCTCACCCTCCATAAAAAACAAACAAACAAACAAAAAAAAAACCACTTTTTTGCAGTAGCAGATGTGGACCATTGTAAGAGCCAGGGGAGCAGGACATCTGCTGAGAGATAGTGTCTTCTAATATGATAGGGAAGCTGCTCCCATGAAATCTTAACAATATGGTTACCTAAACAAAACCAGCAAAGTGACACCACCAGTTGACATGCCAGTGTGAATGGGGAAAAGTCTTACAAGGCTTATGCCTTAGTTACATTCCTATTGCTGTGATGACATTGTGACCAAGGAACTTACAAACAAAACAAAACACCACACAGTTTATTGGGGGCTTACAGTATTACTAAGCAATACAGACCTGCCGAGATAATGAAGACAGTTCGTGATCTACTATTAAATACACGGTTGGTCAATGCTGGGTAAGAGCAGGCCACACTGAGACTTGCTAGGGCACTCACGTATTGACCTACTACCCTAAGGTAAGAGATGAGACTCTGGGGATGGGGCTTCCGGACACCATTGCTCCTCTTTCTCTCATAGAGGCATGTTCGAGTCAGGAGATGCTTGCTCTGTGTGGGAGGTATTGATGACTGTCATAACGATTGACAGATGTGTAGTGCTGACTGAAGGGGGATTGTTAGGCTTCAAAGGGGTCTCAGACAATGGGAGACCTCTCACTGATGTCGTGGGTTACGGGAGCACCAGGAAACAGGTAAAGCCCCAAACCAGAGGCTTGCTGCCTGTGAGTGCGAGGCAGGAGATGACCAAACTGTACTCCCAGGGGATTCTGAGAGGCCACCCTTTCTCTCCTGTCCCATACACCCACTCGAAGAGATTCCTAACCCTGCGACAATCCACAGAAAGAAGAAGAGGAGGAGTTGTTGCTGGCGTTTGTAGTAACAGGATGAGAAAGTGTGAGACTTCCTGTTATGTATGTGTGACAGCTGGTGATAAGTGGAGGGGCCGTGCAGGAAATCCGCTCAGCTTCTGCAGTGTGACCTCCTCGAAACTGGGCAGCTCCTTTAGTCTGGACGTTGATGGCAGGACAAAGAGGCGCCTGCACCATGAGCGACGACATGGTAGAGAGGAGCTTGGAAGGACCCTCGACACTCACTACAGACAAGCCCTCCCAGAAAAGGGGAGACGTGGTGGAAATATTAAATGGGGAGAAGGTGAAATTTGACGACACGAAACTTTCCTTAATTCTTCAGAACGGCCTGGAGAGCCTCCGAGAGGAAAATGCCTTGACAGATGTCATCCTGTGTGTGGACGTCCAGGAGTTTTCTTGCCATCGTGTGGTACTTGCTGCAGCCAGCAACTATTTCAGGTCAGCCTGCCTTGAATCAGAGTCAACCTGCGTGCGTGCATGCGTGTGTGCGTGCTGCAAGGAAAATAGCTGTAGATGTGCGAGCTCAACCCGTTTTGCTTACTGTTAAGTTTATGGTTATTGATTATTATAATATATGACAATGTTATATATTAGATCATATATTACATTATATACAATGCAAATATGTATGTACATATACTAAGATTTGTGTGCCTACTTAAAATATAAGAAAGGAAACTATCAAACTTTAGGTTTTGGATGTAGGCCACGTTCTAAGAGAAACTGGGACCCTTTAGAAGCAGTGCTTATTTATCACGGTGAACTTGACATAGGAAAGTATGTCCTTCGTTTTAAGGATGTGAAATTACTTAAGTCAGGGGGATTTTTTTCCCCCCTCCCTTTCCTCAGTTTGACCGAAGTGTTAGAAACATGATGTTGTCTGTCTTCATCAGTAGAGGTAGAGAAAAAGGATGTGGCCTCTTGGAGTTATCAGATGACTTGCTGAAAGTTAGGGGTTTCTGTTGTGCAAGGAGAGGTGGGAAGGATTAATAGTGCAAGAAGGCTGTGGGCGTGAAAGGCTCCTGGGGCGTCAGAGTGGGGGACCTGGGGCCAGAAGACCTGCTTCCATGTCCCTTGGGCCCTCCCCGGCTGGCAGGTTTTAGACAAGTGTCCCAGGTGCTCTTGCGTTTCTGTCTCGTGAACTGGAAGATGGGGACAGTGACGGTTTTCTCTCATCACTGTTGTGGGGGAAGTGAAAAGGTCTTGTACGGTGCCTGGCAGATACATTTGCTCAAAGCATCTTTGTTCAAATCCCCAGTGAATACAGCTGCACCCGCATTGTCCACATCAGCATGGACGTGACAGGGAACTAGCGTGTAAGGATGGTGTAAATGAGGGAGGTATTTTGGAAACCAGGGGAGTGGGAAATCACTTTGTTTATTTTAAGTGAGATTTTTCTACCTCTCAGTTCTGGTTGCGGATTTTAAGAAAGTATCATATGGTGGGTTTAGGAGAAAATTCTTTGGAGTTCAAAGGGCAGGGTCAGCGGGTTGCTGTGGGTAAATAGCTCTCCTAGATTGACATGGCAAGGGGCAGCGGGCTGTGAGAACTTGAGGGAAGTCACGCCTGCTCTGTACCACAAACAACGGTTGGTTTCAGTCTGCAGTGGCATGGTGAAGGTGACAGACGGCCCCTTTTTAGATGAGGAAATGAAGCCGTGCATCTTGTGCCTGGCTGTTGCTGGAGCAGGGATTCCACACATTCTAAAAGCCCTTGTTTTAACGGCAGAACAAGGCTGCCACTGGGTTTGGAGCATCCTTCTGTGGGCAGGATACCTAGGGAAAATGCAAGCTGAGTCGTGAAAATGGGCTGACCCCGCACACTGCTTCGCCTGCCTGCCGCTGTGCTCGCCACCAGCTTTCTCGCTTAGGAGTGAAGGGCAGCCAGTTTGCCTCGGTGTCCTGGGTACTTGTTTTCCGTTTATTCTTCCTGTTGTGAGTCACTGAAAAACTGCTGTCCTTAGTTGTTAATTTTGTAAGTGTGTTTGCCTGCTCATGAGACAGGACTGCTGGCCCTCTGCCCTTGAGACATCTCTTTGTTTTGGTCCTTGGGTTTCTCCTCGTAAACAGAGGTGCCTCAGCTCAGATCTTCTATGTTTGCTGATGTAGAAAACACTCTGCTGGTCCTCGGGGCAGGCGGTGGTGGTGAGAAGCTGATGCACACTTTCTAACCAAATTGCCTGGTCTTATTCTTACTCTTTCTTTAGATTTACATCCAGGCATTTCCAACACAGTTTTCTTCCTATCCGGGTACACAGTTCTGGAGACAGGACTCTGTTTTGTTGGTTGAGCAGTTGTGTGGGCCCAGTGTCACATGCACCTAGCCCGTTTAAAGTGCACCCCAACCTAATGAGGTGGGATATAGGGCCCATCTTGCAGATGCGGGGATGAAGTCTAGGATGCCAGCTTAAAAAAAAAAAAAATAGCCAACTTGTGTCCTGAGACTGAGGACCGACATTCGGTCTGGCAGTGACTCAGTGCGTCTTTGCGTTGTTTCTAAGGTTTCGAAAGGGGTGAGACCTCTGTCGCGGCCAGCACACCACAGCAGGTTGAAATCAGCAGCCTCTGTTGGTGGTAGAGTAGGGATCACTTCCCTCAGACTCAGCCCCTTGCCTGTCAGTACACCGGAGCTATTTAACCCAAAGCAACCTGCTGGTTCTGCCCATCTCACACACACAGACAAGCAGTTGCAAGAGTTCAGTGGTGTGCCAGGAGGATGGCAGGGTCGGAATGTGTCAGCCAAACAGGGGCAGTATTAGTCACTCAGACAGCGAATTTCCCTTTGTGGATCTATTTTAACGTCTGGGGAAGAATGAGGAAGTTGGAGGAAAATACGCTTTGTTGAGACTGAGACATGAACAAAGGATGGTAAGCCTTAAGAGTTAGCTCCTTGGCTCCATAACATCTGGGAGGAGCTGCTTGACCTCGAAGGCTCAGCACCGGTATCCACAGTTAAGGATTTGCGGGGCTGCATTTACTAGTGAGTTGTCATGGAATGCAAATAATACGGCAGTTCACTTCTTGATCTGTTTGCCTAGAAACACGTCACATGTGGCACTAAGTCAGATTTCTCACTTTCTGTGATCAGAAGTGGTCTCTGGCTTGTGTGGAAAGAGAAATTTACGTGTCAGGCGGGAGTCAAGATCTCAGCCTTTTGTGCCTGTGTTGGAAGCCCAGCTGCAGGGGAATCCTGAAGGGACAGTATAGAGCTTCAGCTCCCTGCCTGTTCTGTGCCCATTCCTAGAAACTGGAAGTCGCTGGTGCTTCTGTTTCTTCTACACAAACAGGCTCTCGTGTCCTTGCTTCTCTGTCGTCCCACGTCAAAGTTCACGGCTCTGATTGCCTGTTGATGCCTGGCTGGGACAGGAGCTGAGAAGTGGCATCGAGCCTCTGAAGTGGAGTGGAGGCCCCTGCCACATGGCCCACTCAAAAGGGAGAATTTGCCATCCTTATGGAGGGGTCCAGATGCTGGGGAACCCCAACATGACTTCTGTGGGCCAGGCCTGGATTAGATGAAGAACAGGTGTTATGGGATCTTGACAAGGCCACAACTTCAGAAGACACTGTGAGTCTTGTCTCACAGGCATTAGGTGTGTGACTTAAGGTCCCAGCAGGCAAAACGGCCATCATTCACACTCTCATTCTTCCTCTCCCCATCCTCTGTGAATCTGTCTATCTGAAGGCAACGTCTAGATTGGTGGACTTAGAACAGACTGAGCTGCCTATGGTGGACACACACCTTTAATCCCAGCACTCAGGAGGCAGAGGCTGGCAGATCTCTGAGTTCGAGGCCAGCCAGGGATGCAGAGTGAGCTATGTGAAGGCAGTGACTTCCTTCTTCATTCCTTTGTCCTTGGTGCCATTTCCAGTAGCTGGTGTTTAGCAGGTACCCCATATATATTCAAAGTCGGAAAAACCCGAAAAGTCCTCCTACAGTGTGAGCCACTGATTAAGTAGAAGTCCTCACAAGGTTGGGAGGCCATTGTATGCTTTAGAAAAAGGAAGGATGATGAAGTTTGGTCATTGTAGGAAAAATTTGAAAATTTTCCAATTTAAAATCCAAAATTCGCCGGGTGGTGGTGGTGCACACCTTTAATTCCAGCACTCGGGAGGCAGAGGCAGATGGATCTCTATGAGTTCAAGGCTAGCCTGGCTTACATAATGAGTTCCAGGACAGCTAGGACTGTTACACAGAGAAACCTTGTCTCAAAAAAAAAAAAATCCAAAATTCATGCTCAGTGGGTCAAGTGTTTATTGGGCAAGCAGAAGGACTCAAGTTCAGATCCCTGGCATTCGTGTTAAAAGCCAGGCTTAGCAGTACAAACCTGTGATCCCAGTCCTGGGAGGTAGGGACAGCCTAGCTACTCATCCAGAGAGAGACTCTGACTCAAAATATGATGGGGGAGCAACAGAGAAAGACATCCCATGTCCACCTCTGGCCTCTATACATATATCCATGGGTCTGTACACACACACACACACACACACACGCACGCACGCACGCACGCACGCACGCACGCACGCACTCACTCACTCACTCACTCACTCACTCACTCACTCACTCACTCACATACGCACACAGGCCCCAGATCTAAAATGCTTCAGAATATTACAGAATCGATAGGTCACTTACATAATCATGTGGACACAGGTGTGCTCTGCCCACACAGTAATTCTTGCAGTGCTGGTTTTCACTAGGAGGTGTGTGGGGTGGGTGGGATTGTAGGGGGAAGTGGGTAGTGGTGGTGTGCTCCAGAGCAAGAGTCATAAGTTCATTGATTTTTTTTTTTTTAACTAAAATAGACTGACGCCCACACCCGGTGTCTGGGGCATCTGGGTCTTCTTCCAATCAAGAACTAGTGTCCTGGGGTCCTGGCTCTGCACAGGTGCTTGCCTCCAAGCCTGAGTACCTGAGTTCACATTGTAGAAAGAGGGAACTCCTTCCAGTTGTCCTCTGACCTGCCACACGGCCATGGCATGCACACATGTCCATAAGTACACACAAATGCAGCAAATGAATGTGGCCAAAGTATTTATTTATTTATTTATTTATTTATTTATTTATTTATTTATTTATTTATTTATTTATTTATTTATTTATTTATTTTTTGGGTTTTTCGAGACAGAGTTTCTCTGTGTAGCTTTGCGCCTTTCCTGGAACTCACTCGGTAGCCCAGGCTGGCCTCGAACTCACAGAGATCCGCCTGGCTCTGCCTCCTGAGTGCTGGGATTAAAGGCGTGCGCCACCACCACCCGGCTTCAAAGTATTTATTTTAAAGAACAAGAAGTGGGCTGGAGAGATGGCTCAGAGGTTAAGAGCACTGGCTGTTCTTCCAGAGGTCCTGAGTTCAATTCCCAGCAACCATATGGTGGCTCACAACCATGTGTAATGAGATCTGGCTCCCTCTTCTGGCCTGAAGGGATACATGCAAGCAGAAT